AGTAGATTGATAAAATATGAGGTATGACAAACTCATTAATTAAAGTTTTGTAACTCTGCGCATTTTTAATCACAAGAACTTACCATTTTAAAATTTGTGTTCAGGTGATGCAATACTTTTGAGCGCCACTGTATAACCTGTATATTCGTTAAGATAAATCTATTCCCTTCAAAAATATTTCTAATAAAATATCACAAAAAGGAGTACAGCTCCATTGCTCAACTATTCCAAAGCATATGACAAGTGCAGGATATAAAAAAACCACACCAATGTTTACAAGAAAACAGTTGAATGGACCATGGTTTATTTACAGTTAGATGAATGCCAAAAGGTCGAACTAAAATCTTTGCGTTAGGCATATTTTGTGTAGGCGAGGCTTATGACAAAAATTAAGTTTTAAAACTTCATTATTTGTTATTTTTAAATTAAATTAAAAAAAGAAAATGTGCAAATGATCAATATTGTTTTTTTTTGTCGAAAACAAATTATTTATTAAGATAATGAAAAATTATTTGTTTTTTTATTTAATAAGAAAAATTGTTATCTCGACTATAGGAATATTACTAGAGCAAATACAACTAGTTCTGTGCAATTCCTCCAATAATCATCTGATTTATGTCTCCCAGAAACATTTATCGTAAACTATATCCAATGTATAAAGAAGTTCATAACGAAAACCACCGCTCATTGATTTAATATATATATCGTTACAACATATTGAATTTACCCAGCCATCCCACCAATAATATGGTCCTTCATGGAATGTATGAGTATCCATATGAATAGAGAGTTTATATCCTATTGACCAATTCGGAGATGTCTTTGATGTTGGGAGAAAAGTTCCTAGGTCGTCGTCGCATTCAGTCAATTTCTCTTGTTAATAATCAGAAATATATTATTTCAAATGCCTTTGATGTATTATTATTTCATTAATGTAATCAAAAAAAAATAACAGGAAAAAATTCGTTTCATTTTAATTTAATGTAATCAAAAAAAAAAATAATAAAAATATATCATTACAAATATCAAGATGTATTATTTTTTTAATTAATATGATCAAAAAAAAAATTAATAGGAAAATAAATTCGTTTCAATAATATTTTAATTAATTTGTTTAGTATATTAGTGTTCAAAAAAAAAAAAAAAAAAAATACATCATTTCAAATGTCAAGATGTATTATAATTTAATTTATATGATCAAAAAAAACCATAGAAAATAAATTTGTTTTAAATGTCTTTTCTTATTGTTAATACATTTAATTGATTTATATAGTATTATCATTTTAATTAATATGGTCAAAAAAAAATCATAATAAGGAAATATTTGTTTCAAATGATTTTTTCTTAATACAATAATTTTGATATGTATTATTATATTAATTAATGTGATCGAAAAACAAAAATTAATAATCTTAAACAAGATTTGAATTATAATAAAAGAACTTAGAAAATAAAGGTATTATTTGAGAATGTATAAATATACATGATATGATTCAATAATTTTGTTCAAAAAAATCTTTCACTGTCTTCTCTGTCTTCTCTTACTTAAACTTCTCCAAACATAAATTTAATAATATCAAAATATGGCTGGAATGGTTTAGACTTTCGATGCTACAGAAGATTTAATAAATCTTCATAATGAATATTGTGAAGAATTCAAAAATACTCTGAATACTAGCATGCTTTTATCTGGGATGGGATAGCAACCAAAATAACAATCATCATCCAGCTCAAGTTACTGGCAGATAATGCCAAGTAAAATGGGCTGCGCTAGTTTTCAGTTATAAGAACTCTAGAAGAATAAGAGTTAAAAATCCTGAAGTATTTCTAATAAGAAGTCCAAATCGATTTGATATGTCATTTTACCATATGATGAGGGATGAATTTTGGTTGTCTTTAGGTATTAATGATAGTCTAATTTAAATTTATTATTTGTTTAAATAAAAATATATTTATATATATTAATTTATTAATT